ATATGTGGTATAATAATATTGTCATTTTTACCATCGATGTATTTAATTTCTTTGTCAAGTATCATACAAGCTACATGTAAACCACTATCACTAAGAAAATCATCATTTATAGATAGAATAATAATAATCAACAATTTATAGACATTATCAAATTTTAAATTTGTCAATTCACTTACAATTTAGTCTTAATTGATCTTCATAACAACGTTGAATAATTGATAATGGATACTTATCTCGTAGATATTGTGAATAGATAAAGTTAAACGATCATTGACTAATCTTGATAATGTCATTTCATCTTGTATTTGTAATTTTGATTGTTGATTATTATCTCTATTCAGTCGCTCTAAGAAAAAACTGTAAAAATGTGAAAAATTATTAAGAAGTGAGAGAGAGAGGCAAGACTACCTTGTTTTGATTGACAAATGTTTTGATATAAATTTTTGCCACACATGTGTCGAATATAAGAACAATGTGGAAACCATTGTACATGTTCAGTGACTCGATTATTGTTATCATTCAGATTTTCTATGAAACCATTACAATAGAAACATGTGACAATTGTCTTTTTTCCCATATAGAAAAATTCCCCTTCAATCAAATTATCAATGGATTTTAATGTTGTGCTGCAGGTCATGAATTAAAAGATTCATGACGCATTGAGACTTCGACGGAGGTTGCATGATATGCTGATGTCAAATCAATATCATTGCATCTATTAATTTCAATATTTATCATATTGTTATTGTCATTGATTTGTAATGAAATTAATTTTTTTTGCATATGGACAAGTGGGTGACAATATTTTGTGTATCTGAACAGGATCATCGGTTTGAATCCATTGTTGAGAAATAATATTACAATAAATACATATAACACGATCGCTAATATTACACGCGAAAAATCCAGCTTCGATCATTTGTTTTTTCGATGGTAATTGAAGTGTCCAGAATATTGGAATGATGTTACAACTTTATGGCATATTCAATTAGAAACAACCGATAAAGATGTAAAATTAGTTCGTTCCATAATATTGGCAATGTATATCAAATGAGTCAGTGTGCACTTAAATACTATTTTAAACATTAGCTATACAAGAAGAAATTTTACCTTCCGGTCATCAGAATATTGCCAGATGTTTAAATAATATTTCAAATATATACAAAGACAGGAATGATTTAAAACGTTTAATAATATTTAAAACGCGTGCACAAAATATAAGGCAAATGACACTTCCACCAAATCATCCTGAATATGAGTTTTCTGAGACAAATATAAATATCGTTGATACTAGAGACTTATATACGAGTCCATTTTTAGAACCTTATATAACGGCGGTAACGTTTAATCAAGCTCAAGTTTATACAAATATGAATAGTTATGTATGTTAGGTATTTGCCGAAATGAGCAAAACAAATTGTTTGGTGTAAGTTTTTAGTCATCAATAATTTTATCATATTATGTGATGATCTGTGTTTTTGTTTAATGCTCGAAAGATTGTTTTTTGTTTGTTTTTCAAAATAAGAACTTGTCTGTGTTTTAAATAGGCATGCATCAGTGTCAGTATACTGATTTTCATCTTTCCTATACAGACTTTAAAGGTCCTCCTATCAAATAACTATTTTTGCCCCAGAAAATCCAGTCTTTGTGAAAGTTTCGAAAATGACTAGTTAATAACTGGCAGCCATTACTGAGAAAAATGCACTAGTTTCAGCATCTCGAATATTCTCAGAAAAGTTATATCAAACATTTCGCACGTGAGTCGAGTAGACCAAACATTTGCCTTCAAAAGGGGCACTGTTCATTTTATAAATAGCCCCAAAAGGCAGATTGGAAAATGCTGAAAAAACTATCAAAAGTTATTCAAAAAAATAACAGTTCATTCTTTTTTCTGAACTGATCGTAATACAACTATCTGCTACTTATTTTCTAAGTCCGACTCAACGTCCTACCTATTCGTAAGCACCTTTATTAACATGCTTTACCTGTTGATGATCAAACATGACTTTATTCAAATGAAAATTATGTTTAGAACAATTTTCTTGAATTTACTCATTCTAATGGTACTCATTGTTGAGCATTTTTCGACCTGTTGCGAAAGTTGTATTTTAATGTACTATAGTGCATTTGGTAGAGAATTTCATTTTCTACAAAATGGGATAAAAATTGCTCTAGGTCAATGGAATCTGCCATCATAATAATTATTTTAGGGAAACAATTAGCTTCTTTTTCTTAGTTGTTTTTGCGAACAAGATTGGAGAAATGTTAGTGAGGAGTTATTCCTTTTGCAATTGATCACATAGATCCTCTAACTGGCAATAAATGCCACAGTTTTTTGTTGAACGGGAGTTGGTTTTAATTTACCAAGATGCATTTTCAAAACTTCACTTTCTAATATTAGATCACTCTTCATTTGGATTTGTGAGGTGTAGTTTAATTTTTTATAATCTTATTCGATTTCATTGTATTATTTTTTAATTGTTGAACAACAAGAGTTCGCTCGTCTTCTTCTGTTTCGTCACGTGATGTATGACATCCTTCTGACGAGATACTAGATGAATCCAAGCGTTCGTCTAAGCGCACCGTACGAAATTGAATTGATTTACGATCATGATAATGATGTTTAAATGAACATCTGCCTGGACACATTGTACATTTACCAAAGGTGAGTGCGCAGTAAGATTGAAATGTTATGCACTTTTCATCGCAAACTACATTGCATCTACTACAAAGTAGGTTATAATGTTCTGTAGGTGTGCATGTCATTACTTGAACATTTTTACATTTTTCTCTGTCGTTACCATATGTTGATGATGTCTGTTCTAGAACATTCTTTTTATCTTCAAATTGCTGTAATCGATTTAGTAACATTTCTGATTTATGTAAAAAACTTTGAGTTTTATTTCGATCTTCTTGCAAGTTTTTATTTGGATCTCTTAGTCCACAATCATTTGATTGAACATTTTTTGACACTGTTGGATTTGAAGTGATTATTCTTATTGAATTATGTAAGTCAATTATATTTTCCAATTGTAGTTGAATCGCTGATGGTGTTGTTAATGCGAGTTTCAATTGTTCTAATCGTTCAGCCAGGTTTTTTATATCTTGTTCATAATAGTCATCGTTTTTAAAACGTTGACGTAATTCATCGCTTAACTGATCATAAACAGAGCATAATTTTTGATGATTTTCGTTTAATAACTGTCGAATTTGTTGTCGACCATTTTCAGCTGCATTTGATACCATTTGTATCATTTGCATTTCCCATTGATTAATACGATGAAGGAGTTCTTTATTATTGTCGTTAGCGTTACCAATGTCGGATGGATAAAATTCTTGTCTTAATAAATCCCTGTCGCTAAGTACTCGTTGAAAATCGTTATGCAACATATTTCGATGTTCAACTAAATGATCAAGGCAATACCTTATATTACATCCTTCACAAGATGTTATGCCCGCTTTTTGACAATTACTCTTAAATTGGCATAATTTTGCCATGTGAGAGCGTAATTTTATTGAATAATAAGCAGAAATTCTTGGTGTTTTACTTCTATACCCTATGCGTTGTTGTTACTTTCAGTTTATTTTGTCTGAAAACAATTTGTTATTGACATAAGAACACAGAAAAAAAAACATAATAGGTTTTATTTAGTTTGTCACTTTATAAATCTAATAATGGATATTTCTTTCATCTCGTTCACTTTCTTTGATAACAAACATACCGATTAACATTCGTGGAAAATTCCAGCTATATATCAATAACACTATAAGCCTGAGAATGAATCAGTAAAGCAAACTAATAACATGGGAAGAACTGAGCAGAACATGACGTCAGCAGAATAGGAAACAATTTTCGTTTAATAGCAAAATGGAAGGACCAGAAAAATCACTGCAAACATATGATCCCCTTCCGTCATACTAATATTCACATGTATATAATATAAAAAAAAAGTTGATTACAAGTGTTAGACTGTTTGATTTTGTTAATGTTAAGGTCGATTGTAATACTGTTAGGTATGCACCGGTATCGGTATTCATACCGAAATACCGAACTTCGGTATATACCAATACCAAAAATATCGACTTTTTTCACTTGGAATTTTTTGGATTTTTACATTTGAAATGAGATGTTTTAGCGTCCTGGACACCCAGAATGAATCACGAACGGAAAACAAGAGCTTTGTTTGCTTTCTAAAGCCAAAGTTTTTCTTTTTTTTCTATCTGCACATGCTCAAAATACACAGCTGAGTGTTGTTTATACGTTCTGCCTGTTCAGAATGCTAAAATACTTCATTTCAAATGAAAAAATCCAAAAAATCCCAAGTAAAAAAAAGTCGGTATTTTCGGTATTCGGTATACCGATACCGGTGCATACCTAAATACTGTTCACAGGCAAAAACGAAAATTGCACGTCAAAATACCGTGATGCAGAAAATTTTATTTCGCGATCAGCTATTGAATAAGCATCGATTCTTACAAAATAATCGCCGGCATTAGGTGGCAAGTAGAAAATATGCTTTTTCGCCCACTGAAGAAATGGCATATGAACCGAACTATTTCTTCAAATCCGACGAGCGTATTGCTTTTATTGACCAAATAAATGAACAGCTTGAAAACTGTAAGACAAGGCAACGAAGTGTATGTTTTCACTCCAAGAAATACTACTATTTGTTCAGTTTAATATTCACACTGGCCACCAAGAAGCAGGGCAAAGACATTGCTTAAATGGATATTCATTTGTTTCAATTAGTATTCCTCGATGACAATAAAATACCTGCTGATCAAGAGGTAACTGCCTGGAGTTTGAACTCAGAAGTTTTGTTGATCTAGCGTTTCGTGTATTGACCAAATCATATCACCATTCGTCCTCTCCTTCTGACAGACAGTTTATATCGTTATCACAGTGCTGCTCGGAATACATTTGTTTTTGCATGCAAACTGATTTCGTAAACAATTTGAATTTGTTTCTCCATGGACACAAATCTTCATCATCTTTATTTGGACAGCCATTATAGCGATCGCATAGATCTGTATTATAAACACATTTGCTACTGTTCAAACATTTATATTTTTCAAGTTCAACAACAGAATAGTTTCTTCTCTCATCCGATGCTCCTGCACAATCAATTACTCTGTTGATTGCTTATGCTAGAGTCGCTGAGTAAACAACTCACATTCGTTTCACGTATGCGCAGACAATAATAATCATTCGTCTGACATTTCGCCAGATGGTTTGGGATAATAGCTTGAGTTGTCTTATTACCACAACCAAAATCATCCTATCCATTTGGACAGTTCCATATTCGATCACATTGTGTATATGCTGTTTCACATGGCCCTTGTACACAATCCGTTTCGTCTGTATCATTATCAGTCTGAAAACGATTATCTAAATAGATACCATTGCATATTTCTTGGAAATTGATAACGTTGCGTGCTTGATAAACATCCTGCAAATATCTACAATTTGTACTGTCGACAGTTTTACATACCTCCGCATAATGCTCATCTGATCTATCCTCACACTGGTAGATTTCATCACGTAAATATCTTCGTAAATGCATTGATTACTATATAAACCGGTGAATCGATTTAATGAATTCACGAAGCAATCATCGCTATATCTTTCATTGTCATATAAATAGCAGTCAGTAAATCCGTCTTTCACTCGATGTTTTGATACGCATTTATTGGAAATACTGCAACGAAACATGTTAAAGGAACACTTTTCATTGCTTCGTGAACAAGCAAAAAATTTTAATTTTAATTGATTAATTAAATCAGACCATCTAGACACATCCAACTTAATTAAATCCTTTGTTCTGTTACAAACAAGGCCATCAATATAAAAAGTTCCTGAATATGCTGCACACATATTTTCATCAAAACAAATATAATCTGGCAGTTTACCCAAATTGCAATCAAATTTATTTGTTTTGTACAAAAGGTGAACGGATGGAAACAGAATAGGATTTGGTGGAGAAAACCTTGAATTGTCACATAAGCGACTAAAGTGCGATGAACAATTTCCCTTTTTTTAAAACATGGCAGTCATATTGCCAATATTAACAGATGTAAGTTAGCGCACCTTTACTCTGGATAGCTTTTATTTTGAAAAGAGTTTTATTGGAACTAGGTGATTATCTCGAAATATGTACCGAGTGTATACATGTATTTTTCGTTTTCTCATACATATTTGAATAAATGACTTCAAGGCGATCAAGAATATATGTGCTTCGATTTTTCTGATCTTTTCTTTACGGTTCGAAAAATTAAAGAAGTTTGAAGGTTCTAAAAAGTCGAAAAACCGACGATGTTCAAAAAAGTTAGATTTTTCTACTTATATTTTAGTCGGAACGTTCAAATTATATTTTTCTTATTCAACGTTAAAAGCTGAATTATACTAAATCCATTTCGAAGGTAAACATCTGTCTACCATGGACGTTCGAATGGACCCTTGGAAAA